TCTGTGATTTTTCTTTGTTCATATAGTCATGGTTTTGAGGAATCTTTGCATCTCTTGCGTACTAGTTTTGCACTACTGGCAGAAAGCTCCGGTACTGATGGAGATGTTGATTCTGCCTTCATTCAGTAGCTTTAATTTTCATGATTCCCATCTGTAGTGATGGGTCCAGACAGCCAGCACTGAATGAGGGAAGATCAAAGAAAAAAAGGTAGAAGAACAGAGAAGACAAAGAAATTTTGGTACGATTGCTAGTCAATATATTCTCAATGACAACAGGTCATATCAAAAGAAACTGATTTCATTCTGTGATGAGATTACAAGTTTGATAAGAAAAAGTAATTGCACAAAAACAATTTCTTTTTTTTTTAAGACTTCAAACTACAGAATATTCTGATAAGGAAATCATCACCATAATATATCAATAAAAGGCTTTAGGGGGCTGGGTTCCAACTGACATGGTTAGGGTGTGTGCAGCAGCATTGTCTCATCACTATCAGGTGACGCAGTATGCATGCCTCACTGGGCAGTGGTCATGTGGATAAAGAACTGGCAGATGACAGAAAGCAGCATTTTCTGTGAAGAATCTATGTGTAGCAGGGTATTGCTAGCAGCATTCAACAGGGACTGACAGCAAACCTGTCACGATTCAATACTCGACAGTGATCCAGAAGTAAATATAAAGACTGCTGAAACAGCACAGCAATGATACAAAGATCAGTCAAATATAATTAATGACAAAAACAAGACAGTCCCCAGAATAGTGCCATGAATATGATTTGGGAGGGAGGAGGAATGGCTTAACCAGTGAGAAACTTAAGAGTTCCTCTGCTTAGGCTAAAGAAGATTCAGAGGTATCTTGATTACAGTACGTAAGTACCTTCACAGGAAGAAAATATGGGATACCAAAAGACTATTTTAGCAGAGAAAAACGCGAAGCAGAAAGCAATGGCTGGAAACTGAAACCAGAAAGGGTCAAAGTAGACATTAGATACAATTTTTAACAGTGATTTTGAAGGGCCATTAAAACACTGTACCAGAGGTATGAGTGCATCTTTTCTTGCCTGATGTCTTTAATCTGGATGTGAATGTCTGTTTTAGAAGATACACTTTGGCCAAACCACGTATCATACATAGTCTGTCTTCAGTCTAGCTAATAGTGATAATTGTAGGAGTGAAGACATGGCAGTCCAGATTTCAACACGGATTGCAGAAACCTGATAAGAAATCTGGGTATGTGCTTGAGTTGTTAGCTCACACACAAGTCCCTAGCAGTGCACTTATGGTGCTGCAGATTAAACCTTGACTATGACTACCTCACTGCAACCTTGCCTTCATTCTGCTGTGTAGACACATGGGAAGAGGTAAGGGTGAAAAAGGAGTATCTGAGTTGAGGAGTAACTTTAAAATACCAGTAGGGAGCTCAAACTTGAAGCTTTGTGTAGGGATTCAAGAATGGGAGTATTGTATTGAAGTTGGAAGAAAGGTAATTTTAACAGTAATATTTTATTAGCACTGTAGGGAGATATTATCAGAGACCAAAGAAAAGGCATTTGCAGTAGGCAAGAGAGAGAACAAGAGCTGTGGTGCTTAATCCAAGGGAAAGCAGATCTTTGTAATGTTGTGAAAATGGAAATGGCAAAATCTTGTTTCCAAAAAGCCAACCAGCATAGCATGTAAATGACAAACTCGTTTTCCTTTCATCCAAAAAAAAGAGCAACATTCTGCTTCCACTTCCAAACTTAAAACGCTTAAAACACTATAAATGGACCAGTCAGGAATAACTGAGACTACAGCTTGGTTTCACCATCCTATTTTTTATTCAGCGTCACTCTTGGCACTGCGGATGTCATCTGTGGGGTTTGAATTCCATAGAGCTGACCAGAGTTTGGTCTGATTTTACCTTTTGTTTGAATGATCATAAAGATAGGAGGATTTTAAAAACAGGATCTGGATCCCTGTTGAGGTTTTTAATACCTCCTATTCTGAGGTCACTTGGATTCAGGATTTCTGCTTAGACCTATCTCATACATTTTTACAGATACTCAAAAGCCTGTAATAGCACACACACAGGTTATATTAATTTCCAGTGCCTAAATCCCTTAAGTGCCTTGGGGATTTCCCTACCGATCCTCTTTTTAATGCATAAACCTAGAGGGTAGTTTTGGGACCTTTGGGATTTATTCTTTGTGTTGGTTGTTTTCCAACTCAAGACTCTTTCAAAGGTAACAACAGTAAGTGCTAAATACACAAAGACATAGGAAGTTTATATTATCATCACAGTAATCTGCCAGTCCTTTTTTGGCAAATGAAGGGAAAGAAAGTGTGACTATTGTTAGTAATTACACTACTTATAGTAATTTTAAACACTTACTGATATTAAATTTATACAGAAGTGTTAAGAACAACTTAAATCCTTTTCTTTCCAAGGGCAGAATAACTGTATTAATATTAATGAAGCCAAAAAATGCAAGTTAACTGACAGCATTTTTGCAGTTGCTGTATTTTATTACTGAAACTTTATTATATTTTTCATGTCTGAATGCAAAAAACGAATAAAACTATCACAAACTGCTCTTTGTTGTAAGTGACATGCCTTTTCTTTATGATGCATGCTTTGCTATAAAAAGGGAGTGCTTAATGCATTTCTGTTGGGAGATGCCTATTTATTCTGACAAACCAATCAGCCTCCAGGGTGTTCTTTTGCCACAGAACTGATCTTACATCTCATCCATTACCAGATAAGATGTGAAAAGAGTATCCCGTCTCACAAAAAAAAATCAGGCTTTGTTTCATTATGAGGATGTGGCAGGCTCACTCATGGACTTACTTGCAGGATATACAATTGTTAGTGAAAGGCCCAGTTATACACTCACGCATGTTTCCAGCACAGCAAGCCTATGGGGAAAACATTGGTAACATTGGTCCTGAGGATTTTTTATTTTAAAGGTAAGTATAAAAAGTGGCCTCTATAATGAGAAAATGCATTTCACATCTTTAAATAATACAGCATGAGTTTATGAATATTTTTATTATAATAAATAGCAATGCCACATAAACTACATTGCGAGGCAGCCAGTATGTCTTTGCAAAATATATGCCCTGGGGTTTTTTTTTTCTTTCTTCGGCACTTCCCCCTTTTCAATGTTTATGAAAGGTTTAAAATTGCACTTGCATGGGAAAAGCGAGAGAGACTGGAGCAAGGAAAGCAAGCTGAGGCGTTGTGTGATAAGGCAGTGATAAAGCAAGTGTATACAAAACCCTTTCGGACAAATGTTTTCAGCCAGATGTGTTCATAAGGAAATAAAGTCACGAAGGAAAAAGGGAATAGGGGACACAATAGGAAATACAGTTAAACTTGGCCATAACCTTAATTGTTAAGGGATAACAAGTCTTTGAGATATTGGGTATCCAGACAGAGAGTACCTCTTTATATGTGTTTAAGCTGTGTTCCACACAGCTGAAACTTTTAACCACTAATGCAGTGCAAATTGTTGTTGTATTTAAATGATGCTCTATTACAATAATGCAGCCTCTCACACAACATACCTTGCAAAAGTGTCTCCATTGGTAAGCTGTTTGCTAACAAGTGCAAGTGAATTAACAAATCAGTGTTAGTTGAAGTAAAATAAAACATTTTAAAACATTGACAAAATAGTGGAGAGAAGTGACAAGAAAGCAAACAAGTGATTAGGTTCGATATCTCTGGAAGTTAGAACACTCGCTCCATTCCTCCACTCCAAATTTCCCTGACTCTCTGAATAACAGGATCAACCCTTTTGGACTTGCACAATGCTTCTTTTCATAAAAGTGCAGTGTCTTTAGCATGACAATGAAATATGATTTTCAGCGCTTCTTAGAAAGTGACAATAAAGCTTGAAAGAGTTCAAAATGAAATTGCAAAAGCTGGAATTTGTGGCGGACAAATGTTCTAGTCTCGTGTCCTCCTGATATCCTTTATTCATTACATGTGAATGCAGCTCTGTATCTAAAAATCAAGGCTGTTTTATCAGTCTTGCTTATAATGCCAGTCAGAATGGCTTACCGCTGAGAGATCTTTCAGAGTCTGGAGTTGCATCAAGACAGCATAGCTTTAAAACAGCATAAGAGAGACCCATTTTACATTATTGACTTTTCCCCTTACCTGCAAGGACACAGAATTTAATGCAGCATTGATGGGTCAAAGATTTTGACACATGTCAAGACAGATATCTCCATTTTAGAGCTTAAAAAAAAGGCATCAAACTTGATACAGACAAACCAGTTTAGGTGGCAGAGGCAGCTCAGACTGAGGTAGGGACAATTGTTTTACTCATCTGCAGAAGACATTACTTTTGAAAGAAGCCTTATGTAAAGAACAATGTAATTTAAGGAAGATGAAACCAGAACAATTGCTAGAAATGCAACAAGGGTCTAGAGGTATTCCCTTAAAACTCATGTTAACTAACCTATCATTGTGTTCTTTCTATGGATTTTTTTAAACCATTCTATAAAAGTCCATGGCAAGAATATAATTTTCTAGAAAATGGTATTTCATATGACCTAGATAAAGTGATCATCCCCTAGTAAAGTCAGCAATAGTTTTCCATAGAGAATGCATTTGATTCAGAACTATGAACAGACTATTTCCATTAGTAAACACTATAAAGCAGAACTGCTTGTTTCATCCAACACCCTTCCTGTATAAACAGATTTCACTGTAGGATAAATACACCCAGAAGTATCTACTATGACTTTATGTCCCTAAATGGATGATGTAGCAAAATCTCATTTTTAATACTGGCATTTATGTTACTTCACCGATGGAATTTATAATAATAACAGCAAAATTGTTGTGTTAATGATCAGAGTGTATAATAAGATGCACAGTTAGGAGGATTATGGGAATTTAATGGGATGAGAAGGGCAAGAGATCATCTGCTGTATGACTCTTCCTGATCGTAACCTGCTGTCTATATCCCCGATGTGTTTTTATGACTTGTGTGCTTTGGTTTGTTTTCCAGTTTGCGTTCTGCCGTGAATGTAAAGAAGAATACCATGAAGGGGAATGCAGCTCTCTCCTCAGCACGCAGGGAGCCATGGCCCAGAAGGTAGGGATCCCACAACTCATTACATCCTGATCATTATCCCTGGCCCAGCTAGAGCGACATTTGTCAAATGGGTCCTAATTATAATTCTAAGTAAAAGCAATTATGTTCATGCTGAATTACTCCAGCCGTCAGAGTTGCCGAATTGGCTTTGCAGTGGATTTCAGTCGCTCTGATTGATAGAGTAGCTGAGTTCTGTAGGAACACACAGGGCTCTGCCATCAGTTGGTAAAGAAAAGGCCTTCCCAATGGGCTTTTGGGGTTGTTTCGATTCAGTGTGAACACTTTTGAAAGACTTTCTGTAGTCTTGCTGCTTTTCAGCTTATTTTCAGTGCACCAGTCAGGAAATCATGTGGGTTTGGACTGAACAACAAGGTTTTTACACAGCCTGTGCAGAAAATGCTGTTGATAATTTATGTTTTAGCTTAGAGAAATAAAAAATGGATTGCCTAGGCTGGAAGCTGTTAAATGATAATTATTCTAGGCTGCTCTATAATTTTCTAGCTATTGTAGCTACAGACCTGGACAGGAAATAGTTTTTCTCTCCTGGCATTTCTCTTTCTTTGAGATTCAAGTGTCCCTGCTCTCCATGGCAAATAAATCACAGTCTTTCCAATTTAAAAAAAAAAAAAAAAAAAAAGAGAGAGAGAGAGAAAGTGCAAAGAACAGGAGAGATACCCCCTAAATCTCTCACATCTTAATGCCCAGGGTGCGCTCCTAGGAAGCAGAAAACTAATATTCAGATGTCTGGCACATTTGATGCTAAGAGGAAGCTCGAACCCTGAGCCCCCACACCATCCAACATGGCAGATGCAGGACTGTGGGCAGGTGCTGATGGGGACTTGCGTCCAGCCAGCTCTCTGCGAGGCATGCCCAGCTCCTGTCAGTGCCTGTAGGTAGGCTCTCTCTGAGGCTGGCTTTTGGGGCCTCTCACTCTTTGAAGGTAGAGACTGGGAGGGAGCTGGAGACTTACTGGCAACTTTTGCCATGTGCTACCATGAGACAGTTCATTTACCCTACTTTGGAGACACTGCACTAGGCTATGAACTGTGTAGAGGTTCTTCTCTTTAACCTTTTATCCTGGTTTCAGCAGGGATAGAGTTAATTTCCTTCCTAGTAGCTGGTACAGTGCTGTGGTTTGGATTTAGGATGAGAACAAAGTTGATAACATACCGATGTTTTAGTTGTTGCTAGGTAGTGCTTACACTAGCTGAGGACTTTTTAGTTTTCCATGCTCTACCGACTGAGAAGGGGTGCACAAGAAGCTGGGAGGGGGCACAGCCAAACTGGCCAAAGGGACATTCCATACCACATGACGTCATGCTCAGTACATGAACTGGGGAAAGCTGGCGGGGGGGGGCCGCTGCTCGGGGACTGGCTGGGCATCGGTCAACGGGTGGTGAGCAATTGTACTGTGCATCACTTGCTTTGTGTAGTATTATTATATTATTATTATTATTATCATTTTATTTCAATTATTAAACTGTTTTTATCTCAACCCACGAGTTTTTCTCACTTGTACTCTTCCAATTCTCTCCCCCATCCCACTGGGTGGGGAGGAGTGAGCAAGCGGCTGTGTGGTGCTTAGTTACCGACTGAGGTTAAACCACAACACCTTTCTTAGCGAAGCTCTTCTAATTTATAAAAAGAATTAGCACTTGTTGAGACAGAATTAAACAGCCTGTATCCTAGTAGTCAGTCAGGGTATCTATCTCTGGTGCCCTGGAACATGTGTACTGTATGAGATGCAAAATCCATCTACTTTCCCAGCCTCTAGTGATTTGTGATTCAGATGTGGTATTTTTTGTTTAGCAGCTATCAGCAAATTTTTATTCCATGAATTTGTGCAACCCTCTTTTTTTAAGCCATATATCTACAAAGAGATTTGCAGCTTAACTACCCTCTATGAAGAACAATCTCCTTTTGTTTGCAGTAGCCTTAGAACAGTCTTCCAGCTCCCATTCACATTTATGTAAAAACAAAACAACTTCAACCAAAACATTGAGAGATACTTAAAGTATTCAATAGCGTAGTAAAGTAAGAGACCAAGGCTCCATGTCTTACCTGAATTAAATAGAGCTAGAACTTGAATACATCTCAACATGAACAGTCAGCCCTATATCCATTAAGCTATTTATGCCTAGAGTTTTGCCTAGAGTACTGAAAGTCACCATGGCACCTTGCAAATGAGTTCAACAACGTTGGCTCTGTGGAAGTTAGAGTCTGTATAATTTCTACACTCTAAGGCAGAGATAAAGGTGTGCCAGGAAAAATCAGAAAACCATAGGAAGAAGTGGTTTATTTTAAGTATTTGCATATTGTCTTAGTTTCTCCTGATGGCAATGGGAGCACTTTGTCCATCTGGTCCAGTATCTCAGCATGTGAATTGCACCCAATTAGACCTGTTGACTTAGGAAAGTTGACTACTTTTGCTGTTCCAGTGTAATGTGAACATTTTTGCTGTTCCTGAAAAATTTCCTGTACTCTCACAGAGCTGTTCCAGAATAGCTAAATGATAGTACAAGAATAACTCTTGCAGCTATGCAAATCAGTTCCCCAGTATAGACAAGACCACAGACTACCCAAAATTCATTTAGACTCCAACTTAAGCTGAAGTTAATTGACTTAGGTCAGCCTTCTTTTCCTCGAAGAAACTAAGAGAGCTGCACTAATTAAACTTCTCCACAAGGTGGTGATGTGCCACTGAAGGAATGTTTTCCCTCACTTTCGTAACCAGGCGAGCAAACTGAGAGGTAGCTAAAACAAGGCAAGCCCAGGTGCTGTTGAGATGTTGGTTTCACCCGAATAGCATCACTACAAAGCTATCCTGCATAAAACACTCATGTATAATACATACAAAACATTCGGGGGGCATATATGGAAAGAAGTGTGTGTGGGACTGTTTTCATCTCTTTCTCACTGAGATTAATTTAAACATTTATCCACTTGTGCTTTCAGCCATTTTGTTCTCTTTGGCCCTCCCCTGCTAGGTGCACAACTCTGTGTGTCAGAGTTAACTTGCTATTATTGTAGTGCTTGTTCAGGCAGTGAGGGTTGTTTTATCTGTGACCATCATCTGTTTCAAGGTAGGAATAATACACTTCCAGGGTTGTCTTCAGCTCCTGCAGTTTGACTCCTGTCCAGATCCTTTCCATATCGTTTATTTTAGAAACAGATCTTATTGTCACAACTCCGGCCGCTCGGATTTCAGGGTAAACCAGACATGCTGCCACCAAACTGTTACTCTCTGGAACTGGTGCAGGGTATGTGGTCTCAGGAAAATATTTTCTGTAAGAAAAATGCAGGCTTTATTTTCACCTCTAGTGGCTACAATCGTGAAAGGGCCTGCCGTGGTCTTCACATTTCTGCAAATGCCTGCATGTCCTTGACATTCCCGGTGTGAGAGGAAACACTGCGGGCAGGTGTAGGCCTAAGTCAGCATGATGCAGATGAAGATGGTGGAGCATGAGGAATGTGAAAGAGCTGGAAGAAAAGCCAAAAAGGCGTCTTGTTGTGGAGGAATTGGGTAGCCAGAAGTTGATGGCAACATAGAGAGCAGGAAGAGCTGTGGTGCCACTCAAAGCAGCCCTCTAACAGCCTGTGTGTCAGGGTGCCGCAAGGGTCATCTGCTCCCTGGGGCTCCCCATGGGTCTGTCAGGGCAGGGCCTGGCACCTGACAGGGTGGGCTGAGGCGGGGACAGGTCATGGACCTGTGTGTGGGCCTGGCTTGGTGGGGCTCGTGGCCGGGCAGGACAGGGCTGTGGGGCACTGGAGACCCAGCCCTGCTGCTGTGTTGCTGTGGCAGGGGCTGACATGGGGTCCTGGGCCGTCGGCAGGGTGGGGGGATTCCCAGGGGACTGGGCTGGGACAGCAAGGTCTGGTGGTACCCTCAGCGCCTGACACCAGTTTGGGAAGCCTTGGAGAAGCAGATGTCTCAGAAAGAGAGGTAGAAACTGATACAGAGGCATTCAAGTGTCCATGAAAGCCAAGAGCTTTCAGAGATAATAGTGGAAGCTTCAGAAAGAGAAGGAAGAGAGACGAAAGCGAATAAGCCTGTGAGGTGACATGGGACAACAAGGAGGGTCCAGGAAGCAGAGATGGTGGTGGCGAAAGGCGCCTGTGCTGGGCCAGATGTCAGAAGGAGTGAGGAGGAAGCCTGAGGTCAAGAGGGGGGAGCAGAGCTGGTGGGACTGTGGAGGGAGGGAGGGCAGCAGGGAAGGGGGAATGGAGTCAATTGGCAGGAGGAAGGAAGAGGGCAACCGCAGCTGCGAAGCACAAGAGGGACAAAGCAGGTGCCACATGTGGTGCTTAAGGCTATTCGAAATAAAGGGGTTTGGACCTTATAATGGTGGGAAGCTAGAGGGCATTGCTTGCTGTTTGGGGTAGAAAAGGCAAACTCAGCAGCAGGCATGCAGAGAGTATCCTAACTTTAAATACTGGTATATCACAATCTTTCAGATCTATGCACAGATATTTCATGGCCCATTGGGATGGATAAAATGTCCTCTTTCTACTGAAATGTCAATTTTTAGCCCTGATAGGCCATTGAAAGCTCATCTTAAGCATTTACTGGTGCAGGGCTGATTATTTCCCATCTTAGTGTGTAAGTTACATAATTTCAGGGAAAACAAAATGTATCTGTGACAACTTCAGTTGACAAGCTTTCTTTTAAAACCATTGCAGCCTCTTGGAGCTGTTTGAAGTTTAGGATGAGAGAAGTAATCATATTTGATGGATTAAAAGGCACAATGTGCATGATGGAATTAATGACACAGTAAAGGTGACTCCAGCCAGATTTAGATTTAGAAATAACCGCATAGTCCCTGCTATGTACACCACAAAACCAAGCTTCCTGGCCCCTTTTAACCTCACCCATAGACAGCCTGTGCTGATGGGGAATCTAGCCATAAACCAGCTTCCTCTGTAAGTCCCCAGCGTAAAATTAGCCTAGCTTTCCTAGCACAAAACCTTTCTAGACAGTTTGCTTTTTACCAGGATAAGTA